GACCCGCTAATTGTAACAAGTCCTCTTTCATGCACTTAGCACATGCCATAAGGACTCCCCTTTCTCTCTTAGCAAAACTCATCCATGGAGAGAGAGAGACAAAATTAGCTTCTTCGGTATCTCCACTTACCGACTTCGAGCTTTTTGCCGAACCTGCTCCTCCTTTCGGACAATTTCTTTTCACGTGCCCAGATTGTCCACACGTCCAGCAAATCACAACTTGCTTCTTCTTGGAGTTCTTCTTCTTTCCGTCACCGACGAGCATGACTTGACCTTCCGGTGAATTGTTTCGTCCACCGTCTAGCCTTCTCTCTTCCGCAAGAAGTTTACCAGTGACTTCAGAAAATATAATTTTCTCCTTCCCATGAGTCAAGATCGGCTTCATGTGTTCATAAGAAGTTGGAAGAGACCAGATGAGTCTCAACGCCTGATCCTCATCATCAATCTTCACTCCAATGGATTTCAGCTCCGAGACGATTCCATTGAGAACGCTTAAGTGGTCTGAGATGCTTTGACCTTCAGTCATTCGCAGTGTGTGAAACTGCTCATTCAGATACACTCGATTTGAGACGCCTTTAGCCTGATACAACTCCTCAAGCTTGTCCCATAATGCTTTTGCCGTCGAAATTCCATGAACATTAGCAAGAACATTCTTGGCCAGACACAGTCGTATCGCGCTCGCCGCTCTCAAATCCAGTTCCTCCCAATCTTCATCGCTCATTCCAGATTTGCTCACACCAGCTTTTTCTTCAGTGCTGCTGGTAGCACTGCCTTTGAGAATTTTCGAGCCCTTCAAAGCTTGTGTAACCCCGACTGAATCAGCACGTCTTTCACTTGCACTTGCCACAAGCCAAAGTTGATTTTTCCGTCGAATTTCTCCACATCAAATCTCGCCAGATTCGATATCTTATTTCCAGACATCTTCGTGAATCAGTGAACACTAACTTCGCAGAAAACCGAGCAGCAACCTTTAATAGTACTGATCAGATAAATTCTCAGGGAGGGTAGCGACCTGCCCCCTAAAGAATTACCCTTCTAAGTAAGCTCCCAGGAAAGGCTGGTGGGGTCACAACGGTCCCACTTAAAAAACCAGTCTCCTAGACAGAACCTACTTACACAGTAATTATTCCCCACTGCCCAAAAAACTCCTCTGCACACAAGCTCCACCCGTCACTGGCTCCACCGCACAAACAGACCTCTTTAGTATCTTTTCTGATGTGGAAGATCAGACAAAACTGCAACCACAGAGCATACTCAGAATACCAACTAGGCTAACCTCGCTCTTGATACCATTTGTTGGGAATTCTTAACACACCGAAAACTCCGTCCAAGATCCGCTGAAAATAATAAAACTGGAGAACACAAAGTTTAACGTGGAAAACCCTCTGTTAACGAAGAGGAAAAAACCACCAGGGCAACAAGGCCGTAGAAAATCCACTATGTAAAAAATTACACAATTTTTCTACACTCACTTATACCCAAAAGTACCCCACATAATTTTCTATCCGTTAACCTTAACTCTCACCCTAAGGGATTTTTAACCAGAGATTAATTGTTAACACAATAACTCTGTGGAATGATTTTACATAAGAAGTAGCACCTTCTTATATAGGAGAAAAATCCCCTCCTCTCTCATCCCACTTTCAATGTGGGACAAAAGAGCAAAAACCCAACAAGTTGAACAACCCAGTTATCGATCCGACCTATACAAGAGATAAATCCAACCGAGCTACTATATATTTTATACCATACATTTATTAGAACTTTGACTATAGACCTGAGAAAAGTACAAACAAGAACCAAAACAAGAACCAGAAAAGCATATGAATTTGTTGGAAAAGAGGAGACCTGACCTGAGGCACTTTTGTTATGAGTGTGGAATTTGATTCACTTTGAATGTTCAGTCAACTTTTTAGCTATGAAATAAAGACCAATGCATTATGCACTAACATAGGTGCCCCGCAAATTCTATAGGTTTGAAACTTGAAAGCGAATTAACTTGTTTTGAAGCCAAAACCATTCTAATTATTTCAACATTATTAAATTATTTAAGATAATATATCAAGTTTATGAACACAGTATATCGAGTAAGTAATAATATAAATTTTATTTTAATACTTATATTTTTTTTTAATTAATATTTGGAGTTGTGTACGTACATGAAAATTTAATACATGGACTTCATTATTTATAAGCTTATAATATAATAAATTGCCTTACATTATTGCAAATTACTACATGCACTTATAAAATTATCTATTTTGTTAATCCTATAGTTTTTTTAACTATCAATTTAACCAAAGTTATTCAGATATTACTTAATTTTATAAAACACATTAAATAATATCTAAGCCGTACGCGAGCTCCTAAGAATGCTACCGATCCGAAGATAATGAGACCTGAACTAATAAAAAAAAAAAATTAATGAAAGTTGAAATTGGATTTTTATCATCTTTGCGTGAAATTTGATTAATATGTTTAAAATTAAACGAACATTTCAATTATGAATATCAAAAATTGAAATTGTCTATTTACATTAATATCCCAAATTATATCTTTACAGTATTTTAATATTTTACATATGAAGTCACCATGTTGTTTAAAGTATGGGTGAGCGTGGGTCGGTACGGTTCGGAGATTGATAAATCTCAAGAACCGTACCAAATATTGGAGATCCCAAAATTCGATCTCCGGAACTGTACTAAAAATTCGGTTCGGTTCGGAGATTTTTATTTTTCAGTCGGTTCGGTTCGGTATTCGAGACAATTGGGACGGTTCGGTTCGGTATGGTTCGGTTCGAATCTTCGGAGGTATTTTATTTTTTTTTAAAATTATTTTGAATGACTACCTAGTTATATTTTAATTTTTATATGCTTTAAAAAAACAACATTCATCAATAATTCATCATATTGAAGATTTTATTTTGAAATCAATTCAGGAAGTAACTCTAAATTTTAGTTATTTAATTTCTATATGCTTTAATAAAACCAACATTCATCACTACTTCATCACATTAAAGATTTTATTTTGAAATTAACTTTATAAGTAACTCTAAATTTTAGTTATAACTAAAATTTATGCAACTAATATTGAAAATTTAAAATTCAAATAAAATATATTTTTTTTCTTACAAAAATATTTTTTAAACTTTCATATTATTTTAAATAATTATTTTATAATAGAAAAAATTCAATTGTAGATCAAGTATTACTAAGAATGAAATTTAAGTGAATGTTAATATTTATTACTATATTATATAGAATCAAAGTTGACATAAAATATATTAGTAACACATTTAATGTTATAATTCGGTTCTTATTTCGGTTCTTCGGTTCGGTACAGTACAGTACGGTTCGGTTCAGTTCTCGGTACGGATATTTGTGAAATCTCCAGAATCGTATTTTTTCTTTTTAAATATATATATATTTTTTTTTAAATTTCGTGACATAACAAAAAAATGAGCAAATCATTTCATATTGTTTAATATTTAATCTATAAAATTAATTTTAATAGTAACACGATATTTATTTTTATAATATTATTTCTAATATTTATTTCACTCGTCAAAAAATCATAATAAAACTAAATTAATTTTGATATGTCTGCTTACTAGTAGTATCCTCCCTATATATAATTCACGAATGCGCTGAGCCTACGTGACTGGTTTTGGTGCTTCGGAATCCTACTTGGCAAAGAATCATGCTTCGTAATTAGGTTTGGACAAATAATATTTATATATTAATAATTAATATTCTAAGTTCGGACATTCCTCCCTATATATAATTCCCAAATGCGCTGAGCCTACGTGGCTGGTTTTGGTGTTTCGGAATCCTACTTGGCAAAGAATCATTCTTCGTCATTAGTTTTGGACAAATAATATTTATATATTAATAATTAATATTCTAGGTTCGGACATTCCTCCCTATATATAATTCCCGAATGCGCTGAGCCTATGTGGCTGGTTTTGGTGCTTCGGAATCCTACTTGGCAAAGAATCATGCTTCGTAATTAGGTTTGGACAAATAATATTTATATATTAATAATTAATAATCTAAGTTCGGAATTCTATAAATATTATTTAGTTAACTTAGGTATTTTAATATCACTTGTACTAATATAACCCTTTAATTCTTTGTAATTCTACACAGTGAGATACTAAGATACTAAGTGACTAATATATCATTGATTTTTGATTTGCTTCCTATAATTAACTATCGAATTTTAAATGTATTTTAAAAGTTGATAACTTTTGTATTTCTTATGAGTTTTACATATATAATATATCAAATTAATCATCTTTTGATGATCTTCGATTTGACATCCATATTGTATATATGATATAAATAAATTATATTTGTCTTTATAATAATAAAAAATAATTATATTTACTACAATTCATTAGAAAAATAAAATTATTTCTCAATTGATATATTTATGCTTAATGGAGTTATATGTTATAAGTTAAAAAAATTATTATAATATAACACAAGTAAGTTGCAGAAATAAAAAGTGTCATACTAAATATATAATAATATATTTATTTTTATAAAAAGTATTTAAATTTTCAACTATTTTTTCTCATTAATTTTAGATTTTAAGAAAAAAAAATTAGCAAGCACTCGTGTAATACACGAGCCTTATACTAGTTTTTCATTACGCATTTATAATTCATCATTGACTCAACACGTGTTCCGTCCGGCATTTTGATTAATCAAACGCCACGGTTTTCATAACGCAAATATTCCGAATCTACCCCTCTCTTCCAACATAATTAACAAACACTACCCCTTATTTGTTACCCTCAATCATCCCTCTCACCCATTTCTGTGTGTACCCCAACACCACCAATCTCTCTCTCTCTCTCTCTCTCTCTCTCTCTCTCTCTCTTCAATGTCCATTGCCGAGTTTAGTCAAAAGATCCATCTCTAAATTTTCAAATTCCTCTACAGATCTGAAACCAGCGACACCTGAAAAAAATAAATATTGTTTTTTGGCTTTCCATGTCTTCTTCTTCAACCTACTGGTGCTACAGATGCAACCGATTCGTGCGGATTTTCAACAAGGACTGCATCAATTGCCCAGATTGCAACAGCGGCTTCGTTGAGGAGATCGAGGATCCCAACAGTTCTTCTTCCCTTTCCGACTCCAGCCGCCGCCGCTTCCCCGCCGCCGACATGTACATGCCTCGGACCCCCGAATCGGGTCCCGGTTCCGGATCTGGATCCGGTTCCGTCGCGGTTGCCAGTCCCAGGCTGAGGAGGAGCCGCAGGAACGGAGGAGATCGGTCGCCGTTCAATCCGGTTATTGTTCTCCGCGGTCATAACGATGGCGGCGGCGGCGGTGGAGGTGGGGCCACGCACGGGGGAAGATTTGAATTGTATTATGACGACGGATCTGGATCGGGCCTGCGCCCCTTGCCCGCCACCATGTCGGAGTTTCTTTTAGGGTCGGGTTTTGACAGGTTGCTGGATCAGTTGTCTCAGATCGAGGCCAACGGAATTGGGAGAGTAGATAGCAACCCGCCTGCGTCCAAGGCCTCAATTGAGTCCATGCCCACCGTCCAAATAAACGACGGGCACATATCCGTTGAATCTCACTGCGCTGTCTGCAAGGATCCTTTCGAGTTGGGCACTGAGGCACGCGAGATGCCCTGCAAGCATCTCTACCATCCGGACTGTATCCTCCCCTGGCTTGCCCTCACGAATTCGTGCCCTGTGTGCAGACACGAACTGCCTACCGACATCGATGCTGTCAATGCCAGTCGGGGTCCTCTCGAGGCTAGCAGGGGAGGATCGAACGAGGTCGAGAATGATGATGAGACGGTTGGGCTGACGATATGGAGGCTGCCGGGTGGTGGTTTTGCGGTAGGGAGATTTTCAGGTGGGAGGAGGGGTGGGGAGAGGGAGCTTCCTGTGGTTTATACGGAGGTTGATGGTGGTTTCCCGAACAATGGTGCCCCAAGAAGAATTTCATGGGGCTCAAGGGGTGATGTGTCGAGGGAGAGTGGCGGGCTGAGGAGGGTGTTGCATAACCTGTTTGCGTGCTTCGGTAGGGGAGGTGGTGGGTCATCGGTTTCAACCTCAAGCTCGAATTCGAGAACGAGCAGGAGGAGAGGCTCCTTGTCTTCCCTCTTTGGTGGGCTCACCTCTAGAAGACGTGGAGGATTGGTTTTTGAAGTTAACAATGGGAATAATGATAGGGGATGGTGATTCTTATTCATGGGAAAGAAGTGTAGATGGGCATTGTCAATGCGGTGATGGCTGATGGGGGTTAAAAGAAAGTTGATGGTTAAGCTGGGAAATGGAATGATTTATGATTGGTCTTTTTACTAAATAATGGTGATGATTACTCCAAATTTATTTGGTTTATGATGTAGATGGAGGATATAGCTGGGGAGAGTGGGCAAGGAGATGGAGCCGCATATATTGTTGTAATGCTCTGACTGGCTTCTGGGACTGGGGTTGGTAGGTACACCAAGCTTAGTGTGTAAACTCGCATCTTTGGATTCAAGAGTCCCTTTTTGTTTCGTACCTGTCTGTCGCATTGTGCAATGTGTAGTAAGTGCCCTTTGATATACTATGTTATGTCTGTGATTTTGTAATTTGGATTCTAGTTTCTACCTCAAAGCGTAATGAGTAAGATATCTATTTTATGGACATGTGTCCGGCATCAATTCAGGTGAGGTTATGCATTTTGTTTGACATATCTGTGGCTTGGATTGTGCTCCGATCTTGTTGATGTCCTGAGTGGTAAATTTTTGGATATTTTGCACGAGCTGTCTATTCTGTAGGATTTACTATAGCTGTTTGAATATCTGCTTGGCCTGTTTACATTGTTGTCGCTTTTCATTTCGCTGAAACATCGAAGACCATCTTTATTGTTTGTCTCGTGTAAAGGTTGGAATTCCACTCCATTGGCTATTACTTTTACTTTTATTGCGCTTTTGGAATCTATGTTGTGTTGCACTTTGGATCCTGGAGCTATTCATTTGTTAAATTTCGACCTTAATGTACTAGATTGCAGTGGCGTGTCCTAATTTATATCAATTTTATTTTAGGGTTATTTGATCCTGTGCACACACTGGGTTTCTCACCGTTGGAACATGGTACACACACACATACATCTTTGTGGATGTCTTTTGATCCAACGGTGAGAAAAGCCCTGCAGGGTGAAATCTATACTTATTTCAGATGGAAAGTCGAAGTATTTTTTCTCCTTTTCTACTTGATAGCTAGTTACTTTTGCATTCATTTCCCTGTCCTGTTTGTATTATATTCCGAATTTTTTTGTACTTAAACTGTTGATTCACAATTTTCGGTTACAGAATAATCTTTTTTCAGCTTTTGCCAGTGTGGGTTATTTTGTTTCTAATGTTTCCATAAGCTGCTCACCCTTTTTGTAGTCTCAACATTTGCTGATGTGTTTCTAATTAGAACACATTCTGGTCATCTTCAGTATTCTTAGCTGTTACCTGAGTGATATATAATTCTTCCCCTTGATTTTTCCCATCTTTTTTCTCTTTCTGTTGGGTGGGGGTGTCCATGCACATAAAATAAGAGTGCCCCAGACAGGAATCCTTATTCGAGGAAGAATCGGCATTGAGAAAGTACTTCACTAACTGCTTATTAGGATTGAAGCTAATTGTAGCAAAAAGATTGAATTGTCGGTTAAATCAATGGCATAAACGAATCAAGCGTAGAAGACAGTTAAGTAAATGAAGGGAAAAGAGATCAGTAGGGGAAGATGAAAGATGATAAATTTCTGGAAACCCTAGTTTTTGTGTGTGTGTGTGTTTTGTGTGTGTGTGGAATAGAAATTTTTTTAGTTGATTTTGTGATTCTAATTATAATCAGGTGAATGAAACGAAAAATTCGATGATGTATCATGATTTGTCATCCCTAAAAATTGCGCCCATGCGTTTTGATTAGATGTCGTAAAATTCAATTAATTTAACACAATGGTGTTAATTTGACATAATTTTCCACTATATCCTCACCTTGTATATTGGTTTAAATAATAATCCATCAAATATGGAAATATATTGCTCATGAGCAATGCACATTTTACTATAATAAACTTCCAAATTATTTTTAAAATTAATTTTCCAAAATAATTTTACTATAGCTTTATGGTCCCCGCGTATAGGAGGTAATTTTTTCTTTTAATAATGATTCATTAGCCGTGTACCCTTGTTAGAGCAACAATAATCCAAAATCAAGTATTACACCTTCTTTAACCGATACCCAAATTTTTGCTCAAACCCGAAAAATGCGTTTCAAATTTTAAAATTACAATTCAATCTTTTTTATTTGAAAATTGGAATTGTCAATACAAAAAACTAAAATATGGTTAGTAGTTACTAATCAACAATTGTATTTATACAAATAAAATAAATTCTGTAAATGACTATAATTTTGTTACCAATTCAACTTGTGTACAAGTTTTTTTTTTTTTTTTTTAGCATATTAAATTTATTAGAAGTAATTGTGTTAAGGTAAATATTCATTTTATATATTACTTATGACAATAGAATATAATATAAAAATTACCAAACATGTTTGTGTTAAAGACAAATATTCAATCCTTTTATTTTGCTTATGTCAATAAAAAATATAAAAAGCCACGATATATATATATATATATATATATATATATATATATATATTGCGCATATAAATTAAGAAGTTAAAATATTTATAAAAATATATCTATAATATTCTTACGAAATTGAAATAATTAACCCACTTGTTAGAAATGTTATCAAATTCAAACAATATGATCCCTTTCAAAATATTTTTATAAGTTGAAATTAAAAGATGTATATAATATTTGCTTATTCAACAAATATTTATTCCAATAAACATATTTATTATGTATGTATTTTTAATCTATAATTAGTTTATTATATATTTTTTCAACTGAATATAAATAAAAATGGGTCTAATTTGTAAAATTGTTAAATATGTGAGTAGTATTGAAAAATTTTGAATTTGAGAATGAATTTTTCGGTTGGAGATGAATTACTGCAAAATGTGACAGTTACTACAAAATGAGTTTTCAGTTGGGGATGACCTTAATTTCCTTCAACAGTCAATAAATTACTTAATGGGTAATGTTGATAATAATAATAATAATAATAATAATAATAATAATAATAATAATAATAATAATAAACAATAGTGGGCATTTAAAAATAAAATAATACTTTAAATTTTTTTAGATTATTTAAAAAATAAACAAGATTGTTTATTAATAAAAGAGGACGGGAGCTCAAACTCAAAGTCGTCGTTTATGGATGGAGCTGTACTAAAATAGCAGTAAACTGAGAAAAACAATTCACTTAGCGTTAGGGCCTTTCGTCGATCCGTACACACATAATAACGAAAAGCCCTAACGCGTCCGAGTCAACTCATTACCTTCTTCATTCTCAAACGCAGGTATCTCATTACCCATTTTTCCTTAACAATTTTTTTTTTCATAGATTATTCGCATTCGGAACCGTTGCGCTGAATTTTGGATAGAAATGATATGTATTAGCAAATTTTAACTTTGATGTGGAATACTTGAAATCTATTTCTTGCGCATTGATTGATTTACTGTGACAAAAGTCCCGATTTTCTTGTTTGATTTTTAGGGTTAGCTATTTTGGGGTGCATGAGATTTTTTCATTCAATCTCTTTTCTTATAATTTGGGTCAAGTTGGGGGTAGTTGAAATGTTTCTGTTTTTACAAACATTAAAAGAAAGATTTGGTAATGCAACTCTGAAATTATTAGCTAATATAAGTGATTCGTTCGAGCTATTGTTTCTGTTGCCAGAATATTGCGTTCGATTAGTCGGTGCACACAAATTTGGCCCTTTTCAGCTGCAAATAATAGTGGATATGAAGGATCTTCACACATGACTGAAATCAATGGTTCATTTATGTCGTGATCACATTAGATCTTGAAGTATAAATTAATTGAAGTCGATTATAATGTAGTTGTCTTCAGGCTATATACCTTATGCTAGATGGATAGTATAAACATAAACTCAGAATTTGTAATCTCTATCAAAAAATTGATTCCCAAAATTAGGATGGTTGAATTAAGTGCCCCTTTCTTGGGGTTGGGACTTAGTTACATACGAGCTTCATATACTTCTTAGTCTTTAGTTCGGGATCGTATAGTTTAGTTGATGGAATTTAGAGATGAACAATTTTATATGTGATTGGTACTAGTCTTGTCCATTGCAAATGGAGCTGGAAGACATTGTTGACAATTCTCCTCGCATAGTGCTAATAATGGACTAGATCAAAATGACTCAATTAAATTCTAGTGCTTTTTCTATTAGCGAAGTTTCTAGGAAAAAAAAATAATATATAAAACGACGCAATGCACCTTAGGTCGCTACGGAAACAACCTCCTTGTATAATTACAAGGGTAAGGTTTGCGTACAACTGACCCCCCAGACCCCAACCAGTTGGGAATATACTGGGTATGTTGTTGTTGTATTGGTACTAGTCAAGACTTAAGAGACTGGTCTGTAAGTATGGAGCATATATTATAATGTTCTCTTAGGAAAAGTAGGATTAACATAAAATGGAGGTTAACTGATAATTTCAACTTTCCTTTTCTCAGTATTGGTGTTTACTGGAATTTTTTAGTTATTTTGGTCCGACAAGGTTGGTGTTGAGTGCATATTGTCCAAGAAAGTTTGTTCACTTAGTATTGCTTGCAGTTTTTGGTATCATGAGTTTTGTTTTCCGAGGCACAAGAGGAGATATAGAAGCTGGGTTTCCAGGACTTGCACCTGAACGGCGTACAGTGGTGAACTTCCAGTCCTTTGTTAATTTCTAGGATTGAGTACAAAAACTGCCCCTGGTTCTTTGATCAGATATCAAAAAAGAAAAAGAATAAATACAAAAGTCTATCCTTAAAAGTTAAAGATGCTCTGGAGGTTTGTTTCTCTTTTACAAATCGCACCATCAACAATAGGAATACTTGTAAATGAATACAGATCTCAAGGACTGTTTGTTACATTTCAAGAAGTTAATTGTAAATTTAAACAAATAGTTGGAGCCTTTTTTTTTCTTTTTTTTTTTATAGTTTTTTCAGTTAGGCTCAGTCTTGGGGATAGTTTTCGTAAATATTCCTAATTCTCTTTACAAGAGCAACGATGATGTTCCTTCTTATGGAAATTAACAAACCCTGACATATGAAATTTATGGAATTGTTGCTCTTCAGCGCGTACATGCAGCCCGACCAGTCAATACAAACTCCCTTGCTTTTCTTGTAACAGGTATCAATATTTTTCAGGCATTTTGTATCATTTTGCTCTTGCGGTCGGCCTGTTAATTGCTTTATGTAATTGGGTCACTTGATGTAACAGTGCTTTTGCTGTTTATGATTTTAAACTCACACCAATTGTCTCCTAATTTCCTGGTAAGTTTTTTTTTTTATTTTTATTTTTTTTTTATTTTTTGGTCTCAAATAAATTGATTTTTTTTTTTATCATCCATTCAATGTTATCTGGTAGCGTGTGATCTAATAATTGTTTCCTTTTCTTCTTACCCTCTACAATGTGAAGCTGTGGTTGGTGCTTGGTGTGTTCTTTATGGCGACAACTTTGAGGATGTATGCAACTTGCCAGCAACTTCAAGCGCAGGCACAAGCTCATGCGGTTGCAGCCAGTGGCCTTCTTGGCCACACTGAACTGCGACTTCACATGCCACCATCTATTGCACTTGCAACCAGAGGAAGATTGCAAGGTCTAAGGCTCCAGCTTGCGCTTCTTGACAGGGAATTTGATGACTTAGGTGTGTGTACACATCGTTATTCTAATAATTCCTCATGATGCCTCTTTTATAATCTATTTATTATAGATTTGTGTTTATTGAGTGATATTCTAACTCAGAAAGGGTGAAAATTTATTTGAGATGTTTTGTCACGTTGTGTATTTTGTTGTCATGTTCAGATTATGAAACATTACGTGCACTAGATGCTGACAATGTTCCTACAGCCTCGATGACCGACGAAGAGATCAATGCTCTTCCTGTTCACAAGTATAAGGCTTCTGGCCCTCAAAGGTTAGAGCTGGTTGGAGATTTTCAAAAGCACTAGTGCCAGTTCTTAGCAAGACTAATTCATTTCCCCTTTTTCATTTTTCTTTTTGGCAGAAGCATTTCCAGTGTTCATCCAATTAAAGTTTTCTGTTGACATTACAACATTGTTATGTTTACGTAGAAAAGGGAAACGTTTTTATGAGATCATGAGTTAACCTAATTGAAATGGATGTTACAATTTTGATTCTCACAAGGAAGAAAAAATGCTTGCCAATTACTGTACGTGTTGTGAGATTGAAAAATAGATCACATTTGTGAGTTTTAGCTGCATTTTGGTTTGACAAAAGAGTTTATCCCTTTTTCTAAAGTTACTTATATTAAAATGATCTTGTTTTGTCTCTCGGATGGCAGCTCATCAGTGCAGCAGTCTTCTTCTTCATTATCAGCTGAGGTACTATTGTCTTTCTTTATAATGTTAAATCTGGATCAAATTTCTCTCAGTAATGTCGATTTCTGTTTTCTAATTCATATTAAATTATGTTCTCTTAATGTTTAGCCTGACTTTTTGAGTATTGAAATGGGATGTGTATTTTCTTAACACTATATGGTAATGGGCTAGCACTATTAGTATAGTACTCCAGATGACAAATTTTCTGACCTTTGCTGGTGGGATATGCTATCCACTTAAATATTTGTATGGTTTTCTGTAGTTGGAATTGCTATATAACTGATAAAAGAGGATGTTGTAGGTTTTATGCTAACGCCCATAATCCTCTGATGGACCTTCAATTTTATAGCGTGACGTGTCCTCGTACATTCCCTTGTGGCGTGTACTCATTTTCCTGAAAATAGTGGCAATGGTAAAATTTAAGACTCTTGTGTGCCCGTATAGGTATATATCATTTTTGGTTTTGTTGGATGAGAGAAAGGCTATACTTCTCGTTTTCCCTCCCTCATTTTGAAATCATTGACCCTACTAAACTCATAATTGAAATAAATTGAATAGGGATACTGAAAAAGGTAAAGCCATACTGGTGACTGATCGTAGCCGCACTTTTTTCCAAATTCCATGTCCTTGATGTTTTTATTCAATAGAAAGGACTAGAGCTTCCCTAGCCATCTAAATGGGGTCAATTTACTTTTTATTTTGATATATTTAGTTATAATAATTGATGAACATTTTTTTTATTGCAGAAGAAGCAAGACCTTACAAATGCACAAGCCGGATTGAAATCTTCTGATGACGAATTGACTTGTAGTGTTTGCTTGGAGCAAGTTAATGCTGGAGAACTCATTCGTAGCCTGCCATGCTTGCATCAGGTTTCACTTTCAGTACCTTCTTAAAAATCTCGCGTTTTTGGTTGTAACAAATACTACAATCCTTGAGATCGAGTGATCCGAGGATTGAATATAAATTATTTTCACTTCATCTCATTAAAGCACATTATTCACTCATTTCACTCTTTCCCACTTCAGTTTTATTCAGTACACTCAAATCATTACTACACTTTTCCTTATAAACTTGTAATCATCCGCTCACATATATCTAACTTTCACAGTATCACTCATTATCTTAATTTCACAGTTCGGTTAATAAACTAGTAGTGATCTTGTAATTATGTCCGCATGTTTTTTGATTGCTTTATATGTGTTCATTGTCAAATCATGTTCCACTTGTAGCTGCACTATCTCATCCTCTCTCACGACATGTATTTCTTCAGTTTCATGTGACTTGCATAGATCCTTGGCTTCGACAGCAAGGAACGTGCCCGGTTTGCAAGTTTAGAGCCGGGTCGCAGTGGTCTGAAGGAGAAGATGATGCCTCAGACATGGTTTAACTTTTGAAGTTTTGAAAGATCATTATGAATTTAAGATATATTTAACTTAATCTTCATACATAATACATATATGTATACTGCCAAAGTTGAGAATTGTCCCTGCTAACTAAGTTACATAGATGGTTCATCAACAAATTTATGTCTCTCTGTACTAACGAAATCCCGACTGTGCGCACTGCCCATAATATTTGGCTTTAAGATTTTCTCGAAAAAAAATTATATTCTTCGAAAAATCGACATGAAAAGCAGTAGTAATTTATTTTGAGAAAAAATTAGATAAATTTAGATTAATAGATATGCTTTATAAAAATATAATGATTATTTGGTGTTGTACAAAATTAAAAAAAAATATATATATATCAATTGATAAAATTGGTATTGTGAAATCAGTGTTTTAAATAGCGCAATTTCGCGCGCTACGTAGCGCGCTATAGCGCATTTTCACCAAAAAAACGCGACATAGCGTATATAATTTTGCGCAGTTCCAGAAAAGCGCACGCAATTTATGCTATATTTTGCGCTATTTACGCAATTTACGCTATTATTTGCGCTATTTGCGCTATTTCTCACGCTATTTGAGCAATCCTTATTTATAGGCAAAAAATAAAAAAATAAAATAATAAAATACTAAAAAAAATGTAGGGCACAAAATTGAGTAAGTTCTCCATATGGCGAATTTGAGTGATTAGATCATGTTTCGTATTTATCTTGAAAAAAAAATTTGAAAAATTGATATCAATATAGTTATAATTGACCTTTTGGACTATTAGAATAATGTGATCTTTATGTTTCTTAATCTCGAAAGTGAAATGGGATGAACACTTCATTATTTCTCCAAATGATGAGGAGATGCAAAAATTTGGTGAAATTGTACCAATTATTTTTTTGTAGTGAAATTATCCATAACTTTGATAGAATTGACGATAATAGCTAAATTCAATTAGATAACACCGATCATTTTAAGATTTTGAGTCTTTACTTTAAACATTAAGACTTTGGTTTGGTTGTTTGAAGAATTAATATTTGAATGTCATTTTTTATATTCAATGCTCAAGTTAATTTATGGTTTAAGACCATTTTAATTATTTTCTCGCTTATATGATTATATATTATTATTTTTGGCATTAAAAGTGAATTGCTCGAATAGCTTACGCAATGCGCTACGCTATTTACGCTACGCAATATAAGGACAAAACCGCGACGCAGTGCGCGATGCGCGTTTTAAAACACTGTGTGAAATACACACACATGGCCAAAGGTCGGTTTAGGTCGGTTTCGATTTCGAGTTCATGGTTTATTTTTTTATTGAATTGGAACCTGCTTAGGATTACCACTGGACCGGTTCAGTGAATGGGCAGCCTCGGGTCAAAACGGGCTTGGTGGGTCCGGGGGAATAAAAGAAATAGATTTGGGCAAAATTGAAATATTATAAGCTAAAACTGTTAAAAATGATTAACTCATAATATGTTGATTAAGTTGTATACGTATCTCTTACTTTAGAAACCAGAGTCCTCGGAGAGACGAGAAGGGATAACTCAGTTAGTAGTATTCACTTGGGACCAATAGGTCTGGAGTTCGAGTCATACAAAGGGTAAGTAGAGAACCACTATTGATCATGTTCGAAGAAAAAAAAATAATAATAATAATCAAAGGCCTCATAGTTTGATTATCTTACCTTGATGAAAGAATATGACATGTTGCGTTTAACTTTCTAGTCATCGCCATTTTCGGTTCCACTAGTTCCAGTAGTGGTGCTAGTACTAAAATCATCCAGCTCTTCACCATCTTCTTCAGTTATCATAACTGTTTGTGCCCTTCTTTCAGTCTTTTTCCAATCTCATAATATACCTTTACGTTTTGTGGCGTTAACCTCGATCGTCATGTATCCAGATTATAGTACCCTTCCTCTCTAAATGCTTGTTCAACCGCGAAAGTTGAGGCCTATTTTTGGGGATCAAGTATGGACCATGATACGTGATATTTTTTTTTTTTTTTTGACCATCAATCCAACACATTGAATGAGAGTGGTGTTGTAGGTAGTCTGGCCTCCATAAATTTGGGATCCACAGTCAAGAAGTAAACGAGTTCATACATCTAGTCCCCTTATTTATTGCAATCCCAGCATTTTTATAGGAATTGAATGATGAAGCCCAATTTAATTGAATGATGAAGCCCAATCTTGGGTAATACTCTATCTTTTGGAAGAAGAAGATGACGTTGGAGTTCCCCAAGACCGATTGTTGTTTCCTTAAACAAGTTATAGAACAAATAAATTGGCTAGCTCGATGAGCAGTCGTGGATTAGGACGTTTAACTACGAGAATAACATCATCGGGAAGTGGAAGTAGATACTTAAGTTTATAATAAATATGGAGTTAAACGTTAATTTCACGTATAGACAAATTTAATAAATTCACGATTAAAAAAGTGTAGGGGATATAAAAATAATATTTTAATCATTTTCGCAACATATCATTTACAGGGTTCAGGATCACTAACAAATAAAATTTAAATTCCCACATTATGGATACACATCGAACATGCAAGTTGAACAAAAGGATAGTAAACACACCGATAAAAAAAAAAAAAAAAAAAGATAGTAAACACAAAAAAGAAAGTCAGTAGCATTTTTAGATGTTTCCAAAGAGTTTATAAGAGTACTAAACTTGATCCAACTATTCAAATCATGAGTGATATTGCAGTCACGACACTCATATTTTTTAAAAAAAAAAAATCATCTGAATGAGCGAGAAATTCAAACGTTTTCTTTTTAACAATTTGTACATTGAGTTTCACCAGGTAGAATCGTCCAGTTGAACTTTTTTGGGTGTAACACCAGAACTTCTACAATGTCTTCCCCATTTTTCATTTCTTGAGGACAACAGTGAAAGTGCATAAGATTTTCCTAATGGACGCGACCTACTCTTTTAAAGCATTAAAACACACATATTAAGGATATGAAACATATATCGTATATGAAAATACTTACCACCACAAAGAGGATGACAAATTTGCACAAGCTCAGGCGAAGAAGCAAATTTTGACACTAGCATTATCAAAAGAAATGAAATTATTTTGACCAATTTTGTAAGTATTCAACACGCGAAGGAGCGATATTATGAGCATTATGAGTTATTAAATCCCATGTAAGCTAAACGTTTTTCTAATGCAAAATTACCATCTATCAAATGACAAGTAATTGCAGTGTTATAACAGTCGCTAGGCGTCCACTAGGCGTTGGACCAGCGCCTAGCGCCTAGTCGGGGCCTAGAAATCAATATTAAATACCTTATTTTTTTTTTTTTATTTTAACTACCTACAATATAAATTTATCTCAACTTTTAATAACTCGACACACCTAAGTCCAATATCAATTTAATATATTTTAAAGAAAACATTAGAACAAAATAATGTTATTAATATTTAAAAAAATTAAAAAAATAAAAAAAAAAAAACTGAAAAATTGTCGTCGAGCCTGCCTAGGTCTGCCTAGACGCCGCCGAGCCCGCCAAGGCCGCCTAGGCGCCTGCCCGATTTTTTCTGTCGATATGTGCAAATTGGAAGCGCCCGGGCATCGCCTAGCGCCTAGGCGGCCGCCTAGGTCGATTTTTAGAACATTGAGTAATTGTCATATAATAATTATCTTGTCAATGATCGCACTAAATATCTCAATAAATAGAAACTTCTATATCTAATTTTTCAAATGTTTGTGTCAAAATTATTTTTTTCTCACCCACTATTTTCGAATATCGTGACTTCGCAGCTAGGTTAAATGCCGTTTGAGCAAAATTTTCATATAAATCAGAATTACCAAAACCAAAACAAATAAATGAAGCAGAAAAACGTTCAGCCATCTGACGTCTATGAATTGCATCAGAACGTTGAAATAAAGAAAAAGAACTTGTATCAGTAGATTCTGTCCCATGCAATTCCACTTCTCGGGAATTGAGTTTGGCTCGAGTCAATGTCCATTTCAGTCGGATGATAGGTCTATATGTGTCGTTGCATGGTTTTGTGCCCATTACTAATCATGAAAGCGTGTACTTCTTCTGGCTGTTCAACAAACAATGATTGCAAATATATATAATTGCATTCCACCTTTGCTCTTATCGGACTCCTTCTTAAAGTGCCATGTGAATTTATCATCTATCAAATGTCGATTGGAAGCCTTGGCCTCCAGTTGACCTTGAGTAGACAGAGTAGCGACATTAGGGAACTAGAAGCCGTCGGAGATCTCTTCTATAGGTTGAAATAAGTGTTGGCCTCCTCGTTAGATAATCAATCAAGGACGTCTGGGACGCCGTATGCACCGTTGAAGTCGACCTGGATGATCACTTGTAGATACTATACCTTTTTGCTTCGGTTGTCGTCCACCATGGGAATTCAACATTTTTGTAACTTGAAAAGGGTTAAGCTACTAACAAGTATAAAATGGAAAAAAAAAAAAAATGAGAGAGAGAAATGAGACTGGAGAGCTAGAGAATGAGAATATTGAGAAGATTATAGAAGAAGAAAATAGTAATTTGGTGTAATAATAAGAGGTGAGGTAGGGTATTTATAGGAAAACAATAAAATACTTGGTGAACCGTCTGTTCAGGGCAGAACCTACGATTCAAACGATTCAGTTTAATCTGCGCCTTTAGATCTCCAATTGTCACAAGATGTAATTGTCGATTTTAAAAATTTGTTGGTTGAATGATCCTGACCCGTTGTTTCTAGTTCCGAACCCAACCTTGGGAGAAAAAAAAGAGTTAAACTTTTAATATTTATTGTTTTCCGGCACCAAACCGTCATACCGGTTCCCGGACCAGCCCAGGACCAAACACGGTTCCACTTCTCGTCAACAGTCCGATCTTGTTCAAAAACCATTAACCACATGGGTTCCAAACCGTGTCCATGACTAGAAATATAAGCAAATAAATAGTTTCTTAAAAAATATATAATAATAATTTTTGTTTTCAATTGAGAAAGTGAGAAATGAACAATAATTTAAATAAAAAAAATAATTTTATTTTCATTTTAAATGAGTTAAATTTTAACTTAAATCCTTCAGTCCATTTATACCACCAATTTTAATTTTTGAATCTAGTCACCACAATCATGTAACACATACACATTAAATAAATAACAATATTATTATGCAAACATCAAGCATTAGTACCTAAATCCAAGCATCAACCATCTTAAATGCAGACCTTTATAATGAAACAGTAAAAACTCAACACAACCCTTCCTAACCCACGCTGACCTGCAGATTAGCATCAGCCTTGCAAAATCCAAGAAACAAGGGCCTGAGGATGTAAAAGATACCAACACTTTCAATGCGGTAAAAGTGAATATAAGAAATTTTCCCTACAACAAAGTTTCAGCAGCTAGTTCAACTCCACAAAAAGGCTGGCCTGAGGATGTAATCCAGCTTCCTCGAGGGACAAAGAAAGCTTGTCTTGACCATACAGAGTGCGGGGAAAATTGGAAACGAGGCTGTAGTTATTCACATCCAAGCAACCTAATGAGTCCACATAGTCATACAAGGATTGTATTTTTGCAGTGCAATGAAACCTTCTCTCTTTGCGCAGTCCAGACGGGAAGCGAACCAATACCTGAAAAGACCGAAAATCAATAGCTATATAAAATGCACGGAACATATTCTTTATTTCAAATTCTAGATGTGAACATGTGTGGATTTTAAAGGACTACAGAATACATATAGAGCTTAGAATTTTAAAAGACTTCTAATCTGGATTAGAGGAAGGTTTGATCCACTACTTGTTTTCACTCTCAGTGGGAGTTTTTTCTAAAAAACGTCGCAAGACAAAGCATTCTTATTCAAACTAATCTCTTCAGAGACAGTCGGTCATATCCGCCAATAGCTGGCATCTATTAAATATATATATTAGTTAGATGATGAAATGATATTGTTATGAGCGCAATATTCCAATAGTTCCATATAGTTCCTAAGGTGTTATCTCAAACAACAACCATTTTATGCATCACTTAAGCATAAACTTCAATTGATTTTCTTAACTCAAAATCCATATATTACAAGGACGAATCATCAAGATAACGAATTTCTCAAATCTTTAACTAGACACTATTATTAACAAATTGCTTTAATACATCAAAAAACGAATTCTCAAGTTCATGCATATAAGTTTCTCGTTGAATTTAGTCCGATTTTAGCTTCCTACCAAAACCAAATATGCACACTCAGAGAACTCTATGTGTAACAACAATTTTTTTTTTGTAAAAATAAAACTGAAAAGCCCAACAAGTGGAAGATGATTCTTCCACAATCTTTCTATTTTCCCCCTTGCTGAAATACTGGAATCAAACAGAATGCATGTACCGAGAATCTCATCTGCTTTCACAATGAAGACTATTTACACGTAAAGAACCTCCAGTTCATCCTTATCTAACTATCGAGGTAACACATAATTTAAAGGCAAAATAACCTTGGGATTCAATATCACTAACACCCAAAAAAATTAATTTAATTAGGAAGTTTGCACTTACTTGAGTAACATCAGGCCCTTTCTCAGGCTCGGCACCAAGTGACTGAGCTTTCTCCTCACGCATCTTAGCCAAAGCAGCTTCTCTCTCAGCAGCCTCTCTAGCAGCACGTTCGCGAGCCTCTTCCTCTTCTTTCCTTTTCCTCTCAGCTTCAGCAGCTTCACGCTCCAATCTTTCCATCTCTTCCTTCCTCTGCCGCTCCCTAGCCTATATACGACAGGATAAGCAACAATAAGGTAAATGAAAAAAACAAATTAATCTAATTAATATGAGTTGCATACTTGATCAGCCTCGAGTGCTGCTCGATAGGCAGCATCCTGCTCCTCCCTCAGGCGCATATTGTTCCTTCTCTCTTCAGCTTCAACCCTTGCTGAAACAAGAACAGGAGCACTTTCCTCGAGCACTCTCTGCAATACTGTTAACAACTCTTCAGGAGATTTTGGTCCCTCGACCTGAAAGAAAACCATCACAGTATTACATCAAAATGTAGAAGAAACGCTCCTACAGTATCAAAAGAGAAAGAAAAAAATCAGGACGTGAGGATGCAGCTGAATTTAAAAAGTCTGAGAGGTCCTTCATATTTGTCCTCTTTCCTTTAAGCCTTTTTATTCAGTAGCTCCAACATAAATCAGAAAGATATCGACAAAGCTGATTGGCATCGAGTTATGGACTTTCACTAACTAGTGAAAAAAATCAAATTACTGGACTGATGTTTAGCTAACATTTTCCTAGATGCACAGTTCAATTAAACCAATACAAAAAACGACAGCACGTAATCTTTCGGCAAGACGAATGAAAATTTTATCTATATCAGCTGCGAACACATCCATGGCTACACAAATGCATAAAAGATAAATAAAAAATATTAAGCTCATAGCCTGAAATTAAACACTATATAACAAAACAACAAAATAAAAACAACAGTGAACACCAGTACGTCATTAATAATTTAATTAGACACAGCTTCATAAAAAAATTAATTCACAGTTTCTCCATATCTTGAAAAAATTAATGCAAAAAGTATAAAAAGCTCAAGAATAGTTTCCCTCGTGAAAAATTATCAAAGTACACAAGAATACAGACATGAAAAAGTACAAATATCAACAGAGGACAGAATGCAATTGACAGACAACACGATACCAAACTATAAAACTATAAGTAAATTTCACGTATAATGTCGCAATACAATCACAATCGGTCTGGACTTTAGTAGCACAATCAGGACAATAAGCTTACAGTCAGAACCCTTAACCTTAACAACATAATAGAAACCTGAAGGAAGTCTGTCCAAACAAACATGTAAGTTTGCCTACTGAACTAGGAATAATGAGAAAAAGTGAGCAGTGCCCGTCCATATCAGAGGATTCAGAAAGACTCACTGGAAAATATCCCCTCAATCCAACCGTATCTTTCTTCCAATAGGATACCAAAGTGAGATAAATTCTTTCTAAGAAAGACGGTATATCGTATGAGGGAGCAGTAGCCATATAACAGTCTTACATCCCCACACCCATAAAACGAACCTGGAACCTTTTCCAAACCATGTTGCGGAAAACCACAAGGTCTAAATTATGCATGAGTGGCATAAGACAAGGCAAAAAACACACAAATTTACCGCTCAATTTGCATTTGTTCAATAAAAACATGTGTTTTCGCCAACTCTGGCATCGGAAAAGATAATTTCCCGACCTTTTTTCCAATATGGAAATCTTAATAGCTAAAAATCTTAAACCATAGAACTTGTACTCGAAGTAGTGCCCTAAAAAGACAACGAGGCGCAGCTTAGTGGTAAGACACTTCACCTATGACCGATAGGTCATGGGTTTGAGTCACCGATGAGAGAAAGTGGGAGCACTATTGATCCTCCTTAAAAATTAAAGATAACAAAAGTAGTGCCCTAAACAACTACTTAAAATGAGAACGAGCGCTGCATAACAAGAAAAAAAACAAATATACTTTAGCATTTCACCTGCTGCAGCAATGCGATCCTCTGGTTGGTTGCTGCCATAACAACAGCGCAGAATGGGAACCTGGAAGCTTTCAGACTATTACTCATCTTGAACCCTTCACTAGCCTTCACACTCCCGCCCCACGCCACGAAATTCTCATTCAAGAACGCTGTCAGCATCTCATTGCAAAGAGTCCCCTGGCAAAAGAGGGGGGTATCCGGATGCTCGGGCGAGTGCAAGTACACAAAAAGCAGCTTGTACTCGTGCCGGGACCTCTGCAATGCGTCCATGAAACCCTCGGCCACGAAATTAGGCCTCACCCTTCCATAATCCCTCTCGAAACCCGACACAAAATCCATTGCCTCGGAGGCCGACTGGGACACCTGCACCAGATGGCTCGTCCCGACCCGTGAAGAGCCATTCAGTCCAACCATGCCCAGAGAATATGACAGGACGCCGCTCGCGGCCCACACGCCCAACCCAATTGCGCCGGAAATCAACCCTAGGCTAGCGGAGACGATGGAGAAGGGGAGGGTGATGATTTTCCAAGCGAGACCCGGGGGCTGATTGTTGATGCCGTTAGGGGCCAAGACAAGGCCAACGTCTTCCGGCTCCTGATTCGTCCGAGAAGGGGCAGCGGTAGCGGTGGCGGTGGCGGTGGCGGTGGCGGTGGCGGTGGCGGTAGCTGACGAGGGTGAAGAAGAGGAGGTTCCGTTGGCGCCAGTGGACGTGATCGATGAGATAGCCAGCTCGAGGTCCCAATTGTGGGCGGAGAGGATTTCTGTGCACAAATCTGCGTCGTCGATACCGGTGATGGCTTGAAAGTAGGCCAACTTATCCGCTACATCCCCCATTTTTCTTGGAATCTTGAAATGTCTGAGAAGGCACTAGGGTTTAGTTACCGGATCAGTGTGTTGAGAGAGTAGAGGACAATTTCAATCTCAATTGAATAGCCGGAGGAAGGAGGATGAAGAAGAAAGTGAAAGGTTTGTTAATGGCGGACGGGCACGCGTTGATCCGTTTGAGGCGAAGAAATACCATTAATGTCAGCGATTACTGTTGGAAATCACGAGAGTGCCATTCCCATATCGTTCAAAGAGATTCTCACAAGAGAGGCTTCACATATTGTCTCGTTCAAAAAGATTATCATGGGTGATTCGATGTAAAAAATTTCACTCCAAAATTAATTTAACTTAAATTTAATTCAACTATACTATTTTCAGTATTATTAATATAGTAAAATTATACTACTCAATCTTTATTACACATTACACCAATTTTTATCAACTATTACTCACGTCACATAATTTTAATTAATCATCACATTATCTTTATCATGTTTTTACGTCTTACCAATTTTAATTATTTTATTTTAAATATTATTTTAATATAAGCTCAAATCTCTCTAACAACTAATCATCTACATTTTCTAAATTAACTCTGATTAACAAAAAAAAAATCAACTTTGGTTGATTTTTGTATTCAATCATGTTAATATGTTCACTCAAAATGAGTTTTTTTTAATTAACTAGAGTTAATTTTGAAAAAAAAAGTTGTTATAGTTAGTTGTTGGTGAAAATTTGAGGTTATATTAAAATAATATTTTAAATAAAATTATTAAAGTTTATTTGATGTAAAAGTATAAAAATGATGTGAAGTGATGGTTTGTTAAAATGATGTGAGTGGATTAAATCATGTTCTATATACAAATATGTTCACTCAAAATGAGTTTTTTTAATTAACTAAAGTTAATTTTGAAAAAAAAAAGTTGTTATAGTTATTTGTTGGTGAAATTTGAGGTTATATTAAAATAATATTTGAAATAAAATTATTAAAGTTTATTTGATATAAAAGTATAAAAATGATGTGAAGTGATGGTTAGTTAAAATGAAGTGAGTGGATGACTATTGAATTAAAATTAATGTGATGTATAAGAATAATTGTTTGATATTGTTTAATTATATTAGTAATATTAAAGATAGCAGAATTGGGTTAAAATTGGGTTAAATTTTATGTATAAATTGAACATAAATTGGATAAATGTATAAACAAACAATATTCGATTGAGATTCTTAAAGACTTTTTAAAACTTTTTAAATTTGGTGACTTTTGTGGACTTTATAAAACTTTCATGACTTTGGTGTAGGGGTGAGCAAAACCGAGGCGAAACTGAAAAACCGAACAGAACCGATGTATTTGGTGAGGTTCGGTTCGGTTTTTTGTTCGGTTTTCGGTGTGGTTAACATTTTGAAAAACTGCACTTATTTCGGTGTGGTTCGGTTTTTTTGATCGAATGATGCAGTTTTAACCGAACTGCACCAAATATATATATATATATATATATATATATATATATATGTATATATTTTTTACAAATATGAAATATGTTAACATGTTTGTATTGTACATATACATGCTCATTTGGACCTTTGGTTTGGATGACTAACATTAACAATAAATAAGTAAAGTAATAAATAATAACAATTAAAAATTAATAACATTACATTAAAATATAATTTATTGCCTTAGTTTTTCACTTTCAGTTCAAATTTTGTCTTTTGGTTTGGTAATGTTGCACATTAGATGATGATGATGTAGTTTCATTTTATTTTGGGTGTTTTTTATTAAAACTTTGCGGTTAACCGAAACCGCACCGCACTGAACCGAAAATTTCAATGCGGTTTCGGTCTAGTTTTTCTACATGTTTCGATGCGGCTCGGTTTGGGTAAATAAAAAATTTCGATTTTTGGTTTTTTGCAGTTCGGTGCGGTTTTGTACCGAAACACCATGCTCACTCCTACTTTAGTGGACTTTTGAGACTTTTAGAGAATTCTCACTAATGACTTTTTAAGACTTTCATAATGAACTTTTTAAAACTTATTGAGACTTTTATATACTTATAATTATAATATTATATTTGATTGAAACATTAATAAACGTAACACAATGACTAATATCAACAAGAATAAATGAAAAAAAAAATAGTTTACATATATTAAATCTCTAAAAATTTATGAATCAACTCATTGTTATACGAAATGAGTTATTTACGAACAAATTGTTTAGAACTTTAGACTTATTAAACGAGCAAATCAATCCGAGCTTCAAAGAGTCGAACTATGGAAGATACAAACATTGTCAAAAAACAGTTATTCTATTTTATAAAGTTATCAATAATATTCAAAATAATTAAATATCAACAAATAGACTATTAGAAATAAAATATTTTTTTTTTAATATTTAAAAATAAACATTGACAAATAAAAAGAACGAACAAAAAAATTATTTCTAAGTGCAAACTATGAAAGCATTTAACCTTTGAAAAGTCAAATTCATAAGATAGCAAAATGAAATAATAAAGGTATACATACATAAAATAACCATAATAAAAAATATATAAAATATAGATCACGTTAAATATGCGTAATGAAAATAAAAATTATACAAGGTATCAATAGACGAGTAAAATAATAGAGAATGAAAGTGATGAGATACAAAGTCGTGTTAAAAAGAAAAAAGAAAGAGAACGTGAAGAGAGTCACATAAATCCAGCATAATATCACTATTATTGATGAGATTTCTATTGAGACTTTTTCTTTATAATTTTGTTAGAAAAGTCTCTAAAGTCTCACAATTTAAAAAGTTTATAAAGTCTTCCAATTATTGAGTATAGTGTGACTTATAGAGACACTCAGAAAACTTGAGACTTTTAAAAATTTATAAAAAGTCTTTAAAAGTCTCAAAATACATATAAACTTTTCAAAAGTCTCTAGAAATTTTAATTGAATACACCAGAAGAATTCTGAAAGTTTTAAAAAGTCTCTAAAAGTTGAAATTGAATACACGCCCCTAATCAAAAGACATTTGACATTTTTCAGTGGGATGGAGACTTTGAGTGATTCCAGTAAAAAAAAAAATTAAAATAAAAAAAAATCTCATTTCTAGACCAATTTCCAGCAATAATGCAACAAACTAAACGAATTGAAATTATTTCGACAAAAAACAATATGGTCAAGTTTGTTTCCGAGCACAATCGATGTGAATTTTAATGTATCGTTAGGTAAACAAACAAAGCACAAGATTTGTATGATTTTATATATATATTCTGTTATTCAGTAATAAGACAAGGACCAGGAACCACATCAGTCTCTTCACCATAAGCATTACTACAATATGCAGTGACCTTCTTCCCGAATTTTGCTGACGATAAATATACGGACTCCATTGATATTACAAAGCATGCTACAGACTTACTGCAGTTGAGGTTAATAGCAATATCAGTTGAGGATGTCCCAACTATGTCTTTGTATATCACATTGCTTATTTGAACTCCAGTTTCCTAAATGAAAGATCGTTAACAAAAGGAATCAAGGCATTACCCTTCGAATATATTTCAAAACTTGGTTTCTTGGTTGCGCGATAATTTATACATAAATGCGCGATTAACATCTTACTCGCTCCTTGCATGCGCCCCTGATTTTGCAGTAGTTCTGATCGATGATTAGGGGATTCTTGACGTGGTTGAATCTAAGGTTTTTGAAAATTATGTCTCGAACATATCCTCTTCCGACCTTTCCCATATCAAGCATATAAAAAAATAAAAAAATAAAAAAATCAAATTTTACTTGTTATGAATGGATTAAAGTTATTTATTAAAAACATTTGATCAGAATAACATCAATAAAGCATCATACTGAGGTACCTGCCATGTTTTGATTCGAGCTCCATTCGAGGTTCCATTGAGGAAGGCATCAGCCACGTGAATCTTCTCCACTTGTACGTAATTTCCACGTTTTCCTAGGCTTCCAATGCTTTATCATTTTTTAAGAATAAATTAAAAAATGTCAGGAAACTATAATATTCGAAAGAACATCGATAGTTTTAAGTCTTTTCCTAAGCTTCCAATTCTTTGTTTTTTTCTCTCTTTTTTTTTTTGCTTTTGTGTTGCACGAACAAATCAATCACCTAGGAATGCATTATGCCCGCCAAATGAAAAAAACAATAGAAGCAGAAGTAGGGAATAAGTTAACTACCTTATACCGTGGCCAGGTCCGCATTCAACTCTGCTGATTTCAATATCAGAAATGTGGTCACCAATGGAAATATAATCATCTCCTAAGCACATGGAGAAGCTGACAAGTTAGATGTTCGATTACTGGCCAATACACTGGAGATTCTACAGATTGAATAAAAAACCAAAAAACTTGAACAATACAATTAACTGAAGAAAGTACTTACCGCAGCTCATTGTTGAATTGGAGATGATGACTTGTTGAGATGATTGGATATGTATGCCATCAGTGTTTGGGCTATTCCCCGGCGACTGTATTAGCACATTGTGAATGGCGAAGGTTTTGCAGCCCCTCACGAGTATGTGCGTCTGAGCACTATTTATGAAGTTTAAATTGCTAACACTGCTATCTTTGCATCCCAGAAACTTCAACGCCTGATTATCAAGATTACACACCATACAGTACTTAATATTAATCTCATATTTTCTGTTGTCCTAGAACAAAAAGCTCGAACCAAAGCAAAAGGCAGAGTGTAAGAATATATTAGTACTTACAGTCGGAGCCACTTTGGTGCAATGTCTCTAGAATAAAAAAAGAGAGAAACCGTTAGGAAGTCCGCAATTTCACACACCCATTATTTACCTTTATACCTCATTAGTTATATATACAAAGGCTAACTTTCATTATAATGCATATATGTTAAAATATGTGGAGAACCAGCTATAGAAATATGTACCAACTCAGGATGGTATTTACATGACTGGTCCCACCAGGATTGGCCCTGCCCGTCGATGTTCCCGAACCCATCCAGACTGAGTCCATTGATATCTGTAAATCATAACCATTGACTTGCATCCATCCCATCCCACAAGCTAGGTGAATCTGGGGCAACAAGCACCCCCGAAATCTAAATTGTAATAACAAAATCAAAATCAGCAAAAGAATCCAAATAAGTACACATTTTTGTTTTAACAATTGACATTATTATGTACCACGAAACTGATTCTGAGTGCATTGCATGGGCCCTGAAAAGTGACGGGGTTTAATAAAAATGTCCCGTCTGGTGGAACGTACACTCGTGGGGAATCAATTAAGGAGCTGCATGCAGCATCCCATGCTTCTAGAAATGCCTAGAGATATGCAAAAAAATTATTTCATCGACAAATGAATTGACATTCAAAACATCTAGAATTAAATAAAGAAATACAAGTATATACAAAAGATACTGAATAATATCTTTCAATTACCTTTGAATTATCTGTATAACCATCACTTGTGGCTCCATAATCAATGACATTGAAAATATCTTCATCAATTTCATAGCCATTTGAGAAAGAAAGTATTAAAGAAACCAAAGCGAACAAGAATGACAGAGCTCCAAACATGGTATCCTATAAAAACAATGTGCAAGGTATAATCTTAGCCTTTTGAGGAAATACATGAAAACGGTATGGCACACGAAACTCTCACCATAAACAATCTAGACATTTAGCTGATCCCCTAACTAACTGAAACAGTAGATTGCTGCACCTAAACATCACACAATCGGATAGTATATGCATCAAGAACCAATCCTAAGGAGTGATTGTGAATGCTAAAAAAAATTAGCAAAAGACGAGAATCATTCTTTTCATCCAAAAGCAATATATTGTCAATTAACGCTAGACAATTTCAGTCGGTTATTTCAGATTGTAAATATAGTAATCCTTAACTTATATACTAAATTTCAGCCAAGTTAACAAATTGGTCCAATAGAAGTTCCCAACAACATAGTATAATTAGAAAAAGTTACCTAGTTAATGCAGCGTGCTTGATTCATAAAATAAGTAACTTCATTAAACAGTTCATAACATCCCACCTTCAATCCTCAAACTCAGCACTCTCACAGGTATGCTTCAGCCAACTACTTCCCCTGATACAGCCCTTTATTAAAAGAGTCAAAGTTACTCAACCCATATGAAGAACTCGACTTAAGGACAGGCTGCTAAAACAGACCTTAACATACCAATCTATGTATTACCTACGACATCATTGTGTTAATTGATGAACAAGCCTTCACAAATTTTCTTTATTGTCCAGAAACTAATATAACAGACCAAAAAAAATGCCATCCTTAGTCGTGATACTGGACACAAAAAAGGCAGCATTTTTGCAGATTTGCCATGGATTAAAGTTAGGTCCAAAAAATTAGCCCAACATGAGAATGCGAGTACCACACAGAAATAGTCACGGAAAATTTCAAAACCCAATTTGCATTTCATCGTCAAGGTCACACGGGCCAGGAAATTCATGTATGCAATACAGAGACACTTACGAAATTTGACATGGGTCGGAACTATTTCGCACATTGATTTAGGGTTACAACCTTCGCCTCGGCTGCGGACGCGCGCGGCGGCAAACGCCCAACGGCCAGAAATCAAACAAAAAAGTTGCGGAAAAGTGAACAGAGAAAGGGGAAGTACATTTAAAGCGGACGGAGGAGGAAGGGGAACTGAAAACGCTTCAGGCTGCGGTCCATGGCCGGCGACGAACGGCCGGCGAGCAGCCAAAAATTGATGTAGAAAATGTAGGGATGAAAGCGGGAACGGGAAAATCCCGTACCGACCGATACCGTATCCCGAATATACCGATCGTATTCCGTTTTGGCAGGAAAAAATAGGGAACGGGAACGGGAATAGGGAAATGGGAACAGGAACGGGAATGGGAACGGAAAGGGGTATTTCCCGACCGTATTCGCGGATCCCGTATTTGGGCGGGAAAATTCCCGCGGTATTCCGTATTCCCGTATATTAGTATATAAATATATTACAGTGGCCAAAGCTTAATCTTCTTGACTCTTGAGTATAAGTAAATGCTGATTCCTGACTCCTTAGACTCTCAAACTAAGTAAAAAATATAGCTTGTATCGGCCCAAACCTCATTATCTAACCCAGCGACCCATTCAGCCCAATATAAAATTATTGAAAATACGATAAACAATTAAACATAAAGTGATAAAGAGGAATAAACAAGTGAAATTAAAATATACTCCGTTCTTAAATCCTAACTCCCCAACCCCCAAACCTCGTGAACTCCGCCCGTCCCAAGCTTGCCGGTCGCCGCCTGCGACAGCGAGACGAGATGGAGCAGCAGCCGCCAACTGCAGGTGGAGATGGACCTGGACGTGCTTCCGCTTCTGTTGCTGCCTCGTCTGCATCCAAGCGCCGGCTCCAACTGAAGCCGCCACAGCCGATCGTGGTGAGCAGCGTCGCCATTCTTCCTCCAAACCCAACAACAGGTATATCAATCACGGATTCACGTTAGTAATCCAGTATACTGTACACATATTCATCAATTGGAAGCTATTGCTGAAGACATCTTTTCTTTAATTGATTTATGCTGTTACTGCTCTTTTGTGTTTGGTAGCTCATCTTATTTAACTAGTTGTAAGGCTTTAGCTTTGAAAGCTATTAATTTGGGGATTAGCCATGATTGGCATGTAAATTTTCCTTCTTGTTTGTAATCTGTAGGCTTTTGTGAATTGTGGTCAGTAGACTGGGCTGTATTAAAACTCTGTACTGTGTTTTTTTCAGATTCGGAGGTTAATGTTATCTGTCGTTCAATGCCAAAAAAAAAAAAAAATCATCAATTGGAGTAGATTTAATTCTCTTGTGAGAACACATTGGTTGTTAATTTGATTCGATTGGTTTAACTGATGCAATTCAGTACATCACATAGACCAGATCTGCTCTCCGTCACTATTGACTAATGAGCCATCATGCTCTTGTTAATTTTACTGATCTAGTACTTCACTATGCTCTTGTTACTTCACAGTAGTACTTCACTTATGTATATTTTTTATTTTTCTCTTGGTAGGATCTAAGAGGTCAAGCTCAACAAATGGAAGCTCTGGTCAAAGTCAAGGTCTTGGTTTGTGTTTGTCTAGTGCAACTCCTTCATCTAGCCCAGCAACAGCAACCACAACCGATGCATCTTCTTTGCCAAGTGGAGGTGTGAGTGGAGTTGCTGCTGTAGGTTCTGGACCTTCTGGTTCTAGTGGCCACAATGTTGATGTTGTTGGTGCTAACCATCCTGGTGGACAAAAAGGAGCAAATACTGCAAATGCCATCGTTGTTGAAGGTGATGAGGCGCCAAGTGGAGATGAAGTTGAACCAGATGGAAAGAGACAAAAGAGGTGCACATCTGGTGTGTGGAAGTACTTTACCAAAAAGAAGCTTGTCATTGAGGATAATGGGAAGGTTTATATTCAGAAGTGGGCTTATTGCAATTATCCAAAGTGCAAGCACAAGGCCAGATGTGAGGGAAATTATGGGACAACAGGTTTCTGGACACATCTAAGGGTAGCACACAGTGTACAGAAGGGCCAGCAGCAATTAAAGGTGGAAAAAGACGGTGCACAAGAAATCAAAGCTGTTGTAACATACAGGTATGATGAAGAGGCCAGCTTGAGAAAGTTTTACTTGGCAATAGTCATGCATGAGTATCCATTCAATATATCTGAGCACGAGTATTTTGTTGATTTCATCAAATCACTACGCCCTAGCTTTCCAATCAAATCTAGAGTTACCATTAGGAAAGAAATTATGAACATGTTCTTAGAGGAAAAGGAGAAGTTGTATGCTTATTTCAAATCTGTCCCTTGTCGGCTCAGTGCCACCATGGACATGTGGACTTCAAATCAGAACAAATCATACATGTGTGTCACTGTTCATTGGATAGATGAAAATTGGTGTATTCAAAAAAGGATTGTGAACTTTGTGCATGTAGAGGGCCGTCATACTGGTGCCAAGTTGTCAGAGACATTTACTGAACTCATGATTAAGTGGAATATTGACAAGAAATTGTTTGCCCTAACCTTGGACAATGCATCAGCAAATGAAGTTGCAGTCAAAGACATCATATCTGATCTGAGGGCTAATTCTAGTGCTTCAGCTTTGGTATGTGATGGCCTATTCTTTCATGTGAGGTGTGCTTGTCACATACTAAACCTAGTTGCTAGGGATGGTTTGAGTGTAATCACACCCACAATTGAGAATATTAGAAAACTTGTTCTTGCTGTTAAAGGATCTCCCTTGCAATGGGAAGAACTCATGAAGCGTGCAACTGAGTGTGGACTGGATACAAACAAGGGCCTGTCACTTGATGTATCAACAAGATGGAATTCAACATATTTGATGCTCCGAGATGCCTTGTACTATAAGAATGCATTCATGAGGTTGAAATCATCAGATCACCGTAGGTATGAAAACATTACTCCATCTCCTAGTGAATGGGCTATGGCATTCAAACTTTTCCAATGCTTGAAGAAATTCTTTGATCTCACTGAACTCTTTTCTGGTACTCTATACCCCACTGCAAATCAGTTCTGTAGAGGGTTTTGTGAGATAAAGATTTTGCTAGATGAATGGTCCGTTAGTCAAGATAACACTATTTGTACAATGGCTACTTCTATGAGTAGGAAGTTTGAAAAATATTGGAAGAAGTCATCCACCACACTTGTTGTTGCTTGTTTCCTAGATCCTAGGTATAAGAAAAGGCTTATAGAGTTCTACATGAGAAAATTCCATGGAAATGCATCTCATGTTCATGTTGATGAACTTGTTGATGTCATCAAGAAACTGTACCAGTTCTATGTTCATGATGCACCCATGTCTTCGAGGCATAAAGGCAAATCAAATGCACCTAGTGATATGGAGATTGATACAGCGGACCTTTTAGTGGATAATGAAGATGACGAACTAGAGAGCTACCTGTATGAGTCTAGTGGGCCGAATGGTGCTGAAATGAATGAGTTGGATAAGTATATGGCAGATCCACCTCTCCGGCTTAGTGGTCAGTTTGATGTCTTGGCATGGTGGAAGAACCAGACTGATGAGTATCTTGTTCTTTCAAGAATAGCTCATGATTTGCTGGCTGTACAAGTCTCTACCGTCGCTTCTGAATCAGCTTTTAGTGCTGGTGGACGTGTAGTTGATCCTTTCCGTAGCCGCCTTGAACCTGAAATTGTAGAAGCTTTGATATGCTTGAAAGATTGGATTGCTGCAGGAAGAAGAGGTTAGTTACAATACAACATTTCATGAGTTTGCTGTACAATATCTCCTAATCATATTTGCTGATTTTGTCTTGTTTGATTGTTTGATTTTCAGAAAAGAAGGTTGGTTCCATTGTTTGTGATCTTGAAGTTATTGAGGCCCTTGTAGAAAAGTTGACTGTTGAGGTAACATAATTTTGTGCTTCTCAAAATTTGATTTACAAACTTGTTGCCTGTTGGTCTACTTTTTGTGAACATGATAGGATAGGATGGCCATAAGTGAGAGTAGTCAATAGCATTGTCTTATGTTGATCACAAATTTTTATATTGCAGTTGGTCTGATGATTCCTCTTG